TCCTACAGGTTGGACCTCCCTGGTCCTGGATGATGGATTTTGCCGGATCAGGGGAGGTCATTTCTGGCCCCCCTGCCACCAGCCCCCTCCATCCCTGGCCCTACTACCAGCCTCCCAGCCAGTTCCCCACTCTCGCTGGCCTCCACTGCCCTGTCAGCCCCCGCTGGGCAGCACCATTACCTCTGCGCACACTTGGCTCCCACTGCAGTGCCCAGCAGCCCTGCCACTTCTGTGCGCAACTGGCTCCTACTGCAGCACCTGGCAGCTCCACCACCTCTGTGCCCTCTGTGTTCCTGTTGTCCTACTAGGCAGTCCCACTACCACCCGTAGGGTCCCACTGCCCTGCCAGGAAACCCCACTACCATGGCTCAGGCTCCCGCTGCCCTGACGGTCTGCAGAGCTTCCAGATGCTAATTCTCCACCGGGATTCTCTGGTCCTGGAAGATCCATGGTCCAATGTTGCCAGACCAAAAAAGTCCCGGTTAAGAGAGTTTCAACCTGTAAGCGGCTATGGGGGGGCGCGCGGCTATGGGGGGGCCCCGCCCCCGTCCCCGTCCCCTGGCGCCCGGCAGGCGAACGGCCACGCCCCCTGGCGCCCGGCAACCTCCACAGGTTGGGGACCACTGGTCTAGGTCTACCACATCCACCGCTTCTCCCTTATCCACAAGACTTGTTATCCTATCAAAGAAAGCTATCAGATTGGTTTGACATGATTTGTTCTTTACAAATCCATACAAATCCAAAACCTATCACCTTATTATCTTTCAGATGTTTGCAGATGAATTATTTAATTACCTGTTCCATTATCTTTCCTGGCACAGAAGTTAAATATAGATACTTCCATGTATGAGACACCCTTTGGTCCCACTTAAGTCATCCATCTAAAGGAGGTTTTTCAAGTTGGACAATTAGGTCACAGAAGAGCTCCTGCTTTAACAATGTTAGTATCTATTCTATTCTCCAAATGAATGCAGCTCTATAGTAGCACTAGAGAAGCTCCGTGCCTTCCCTTAATACTTTGATGCTTGCAGGCACCACACTGTAGGAAAATCAGGACTTCAAGAATGATTAAAATTTGAGGAACAGCCAGCCAAAGACTCCAAAAAAAAATAGGAAAAAATGTTAAGTACGTCATAAGCAGGAAGCTAAACCACAAGTGGGACCACTGAACAATCAACATGCAAAAGGAACACTCAAGGACAGTATGGCCACTGAGGAGAAACTTAATTAACTCTTTGCATTGGTCTTCACAGCTGACAATGTGAGGGAGATACCCAAAATTGAGCCATTCTTTTTAGGTGACAATTCTGAAGTGTCATTAAAAGGAGGTTTTGGGGAAAAATGACCAAGTAAATAGTAGTAAGTCACCAGGACTAGATGGCATTCACGCAAGAGCTCTGAAGGAACTCACATGTGAAATTGCAGAACTACAGTTTGTAACCTTTAAGTCAGCTTCTGTACCAAATAAAAGATAGCTAATGCACCATTTTTTAAAAAGTGCTCCAGGGGTAATCCCATTAGTTACAGCTCAGTAAGGCTGACTTAAGTACTGGGTAAACTGGCTAGAACTATAGCAAAGAACAATATTGTCAGACACAGAGATGAAGATAATTTGTTGAGGGAAGAGTCAACATGTTTTTTGTAAAGGTAAACTATACTTCACCAAATTACTAGAAGTATTATCCAAGCATGTGGACAAGGGGGAATCCAGTGAACAGTGTACTTAGAATTTCAGAAAGCCTTTGACCAAAGGCTCTAAAGCAAAGTAAGCTGCCGTGGGACAAGAGAGACAGTCCTCTCCTGGACTGGTAACTGGTTAAAATAAAGGCAACAAAGGGTAGGAATACATGATCAGTGAGGAAACTAGTGGCGTCCCCTTGGAGTCTGTTCTGGGACTAGTTCCATTCAACAGATTCAGTTCAAGTGGGCACTGCCGGGGGAGGGGTGCATATCTCCCAGCTGGGGTGAGTCCAGGCTCATCTGCCCCTTGTGTTCTCTTGCCAGAGTGAAGAATGCAGCTTTCCCCAGCCAGCAATGTTTCCATATAAATCAGGAGAGGACCCCTGCCCATCCTGAAGGGCACATGGGGGGGTGGGAGGCTCGTAACTGCAGTAGTTGTGGACGGATGGGGGAGGACACCCCCAGCCAGCCCCTTCTCCTGTCTGGTGATTCGGTCTCTTTTCCGTATGGTTTTATGAGAAGCAATCCCATTCCAGGCACATCTTATTTTCCAAGCACAACCAAAGACTTGCTTTTAGTTATGATAAAAGGGAGACGTATTGAATGTGGTGGTCCTAGCTCATACCATTTAGGATGAATTTTTGAACAGACAGACACACACACACATAAACCCTCTCAAATCTACAGTAGATTATTAGTAGCCCTGTGAGGATACAAAATGTGTATCTGCATCCACATCTGCAAATATGATCCATGGATATCTGCATCCACGGATATGGATACCCATAAATTTGCAGGGTGATAGATGCAAAATTTGTATTCGCATCTGCAAAAAATTAGTCATGTATATATGTGGGTTTGCAGGGCCCTACTTATGAAATATTGCATACTGTCACTTCCTGAGTTACTCTGCTTGTATTCTCCAAATTTTAAATACAGAAGATAACACAGAAGCATTCTTATTGATTCACTTCACATTCAAGAGATGATATATCACTTCAACATTAGAGATGACGAATCAGAATCTTAGCTGCATCAAGTGAAGAAAAGCCGCAACTCATAGGAACGGTGACATCACAAGAGAAGAGCCCATTAAGGCAAGAGGAGGACAGTGGGACCTTAGTTTATTGATTGCATGCAGCATATACAATGTGTTTTCTGAAAACGTTCCTCTCCTGATGCCGTGCTACACAAGGAAGAAAAGGCACTATTAAAGAACGTGGAGGCTCTGTAGTCAAAGACCAAAATTTCCTGCAAGATCCTTCTGCGAAATTCACAGAATTTATTCACAGAATAAATGAACTAACTAGATAGTGGACTCAATCCTACAAAGTTTTATGCCTGTCAGTAACTTTGCTTATGGGACTGATGCTATTGCAGTCAATGGGAGTACTCACAAAGTTACTCACAAATATAAAACTTGCAAGATTGAGTCCACTGTTGATTTAATTCATTTATAGACATCTTCCAGGTACAAGGATTTTAGATAAGAGAGCACTGAAAAATGGAAGCATTTTTACTTCAGCTTGCTTTCAATTTTCAAGAGCTGTATGGCTGCTTTAAACAGCTTTTCAGATGTTGCATGTATATTTTTTGGTGTTTCCTTTTGCAAACCGCAATAACTATTTTTCCTAATGTTATATGTTATACATAATACATCTACTCATTTTTATAAAATATTTACATTTTTGTGTATGCAATAGACTAGAAAGACTTATTCCAGCCATATGCATGCAAAATATTATCCAAATGTAAGTACTCAATATAGTTCATACCATCACTACACAAATCATAATCAATTAGTGGGTAAACATCACCTATCTAAAAGTCCATAATAATGTATGAATACAAGCATATACAATGACTTCATGGAAGTACAGTAATTACAGAGTGTGTCAAATAACATGATAAAATAACATTACTATTTACTCTAAAGACTAATGTCAAGAAGAGAGCTATCAAAATCTATAGCCTTGATACTGCAGGCAGATCAACAGTGCCTCAAAAGAATCCTAGTGTAATCAATAACAATGTGAACAGGTGTAGGGGTCCCACTGCTCACATTAAATTGCAAGATCCAGTCCTAAAGGCGCAGTCCAGATTTGTAACGTTAACTCTGAGGAGACTCTCTTTTCTTGATCTTTAATATGTCTGATTAATGTAGTTTGATAGTTAAAATACAGCTATGTGTTTTAAATAGAACTATCGTAACCAACCCCATTTTCCAATAATCTACATGCTGGAAATCTTACAATGCTCCAAAATTTAGACATTAAACAATGAAAATCACCATTTGTTCTTTATTTTGAAATAATATTTGAAAGTAAGCACCTAGCCCAGCAATTTTGCTGAAAAACAAAGGATGTCAGGTATTAAGTTATGTCAAACATACTGGAATATGATTGTTGTCTACTGCTGGCTGTTTCTGTGCATCACTGCGGTGAATACCCACCCCACATCACCCAATACCTACGACAGATTTCATTCTCCCAAAATATCATTTAAGGAAGCTGATGGGGCTGCAGGCCACTTCCTTAAATTATCACCACCACCTCCTCTTTTTCCTTCTTAAATTAAAGAAAATGAAATCTGCTTCCTGGAGGTATATCTAAAAATTCTGTAATCCTAACTGAAAGTATATTTCAGCACCCCGCAAGAGTGGGAGAAGAAATAATTATTACACTGTTAGCAAAGGGGCTAATAAATAAGATTTGGATTGTAAAATCTTCGAAGCAAGGCTACTGGCATTGAAAGCAGCTACCCCACTGAGTGTGCTACCAAAACAACGCACCCGGAAAAGAATTCAAGCGAACTGAAGCCCTCCCATGAAATACAGGTTAGCTGTACACATACACACTGCATCTTTCTGCCCGGCAGCCCCTTCTCTCAGCAGCTTCCTCACGTCCGTTTTGCTGACAGCCAAGGGAAGCAGCATTTCTGAAACCAGCCAAACTAATGCACTTTTCCATCTGCCCGCCCTCAACAACGCACCCGGAAAAGAATTCAAGCGAACTGAAGCCCTCCCATGAAATACAGGTTAGCTGTACACATACACACTGCATCTTTCTGCCCGGCAGCCCCTTCTCTCAGCAGCTTCCTCACGTCCGTTTTGCTGACAGCCAAGGGAAGCAGCATTTCTGAAACCAGCCAAACTAATGCACTTTTCCATCTGCCCGCCCTCTCTCGGAAAGGCAGCTCGATTGTCTATTAGAAGAGCTGTAAAATATCAACCCCTGGATGGAGCCCCCTTGCCCTGCTCAGGGAGCTGCCCAGCCACCCACCCTGGGGGTGTCTGCCGCGCCGGGCTCGCTGATACCCACCCTGCTGCCCTGGTGCCTTCAGCAGCGAGGCGGGCACTTGCGGTCGCGGCTGGGTCGGATCCTCTTCGGGATGCTGTGCGGGGGCCGCATGCTCCTCGGGCGGGCAGGG